GGGGCCGGGCCCGGAGATGTCAGGTTTGTCAGTGGCTCGATGGGGAAAGCGGGGCCAGGCCCGGAGATGTCAGGTTTGTCAGTGGCTCAATGGGGAAAGCGGGGCCGGGCCCGTAGATGTGAGGTCTGTCAGTGACTCTGTGGGTGAAAGCGGGGCTGGGCCCAGAAATGGGGGGGGGTCCTTCAGTGGCTCTGTGAAGGAAAAGCGGGGCCCATTGCTGGCTCGACACTCTCTGCTCTCACTCTGTAGTGCATCAGCATTTTAAACAGGGCAAGGAGGGAGCAAGTGGTACCAAGCCCTGCTCACCCCTTGCTGGCCCAGGCTGCCCATCTCCATGTTCTGGTTTCTTTGGACCTCAGAGGTGGCAACCCTGGGCTCCCATGGTGGGGCCCTGCGTGAAGTCTGTAAGGAGCAGAGAGGGTCCTAGAGAAGCTGCCAGAGACCCCCGGAGGAAAGGCAGGGGGAACCTGCGAGGATAAAGGGCCTCCAGGGAGAAAGGCCTGGGAGGCAGAGATTATCTAAGAGAGCAAAGGAGAACACTGCAGGGCCCGGGAGTAGGGATCTGTGACAAAGTTAACCCAGAATGGGCTGAGAACTGAGCCCAGAAGGGGGGCTGAAGAGTAGCCCAAGAGGGGCAGATGAAGAGTTTGTTTGGATGTGTGGTTGAACTTCTAGTTGGACTGTAGTGACCCTGGAAGTGGACTGACCTGGAAAGGTGACCTGGTGGGAGGGCTAGGCCATGGAAGCTGCTGAACCAGGATGGCAGAGAGGGTGCTAGAGCAGAAGAACCCTTGCAGCCATGTTTGGCTTGAGGGGATGCAAGCACAGGCACTGGGGTAGACAGCTGTAAGGCTGTTGTCCTTCAAGTATCCTCTTGGATGCCCTAGCTTAGGGAGGTGCCAAGGGTGGGGGTAGAAGGGGCTAATTGTGTGTGGGATACAGCGTGCAGTTCTGCTGTCCATAGAGCAGCCCAGGGAGGCTGTAGTAATTCAGTCAGCCCCTCCACCCCCTTTCCCAGGCTAAGTTATGCTGGGGGCCTCTCTAACCAGAACTTAAAGTGGGCAGGGTCACAGAACTGGCCAAATAAATACATAATTTGAGTAGGGTCACTGGGGGGCAAACTTTAAGCACTGTCTTACCAAGGTCTGAAAAATTATTTTGGCTAGAATTATGATAGAACTCCCCTTTCCCCACACACTTTTTTCAGGGCCCTTTAAGCATGTCTCTAGCCCATGGAACAGCCTGGGATTGTGGGGTGCAAATGTGGCTTAAAGCTACCATAGCTCACACTTCCCTTGGGCCATGAATTCTATGCTGAGACCTCTTAGAGGCCCAGTGTCTTTAAGTAGTTTTTGAATTTGTAATTATTATTCTCTCTCTCTAGACATTTATGCCATCATTAATCTGGAGATATCTGACTACCCTACTAACTGGGAGTAAATACATTAAATGGTATCTCTTAGGCGGGGCACTTCGAGGGAAGGTTAGTATTGCTTTTTTTAAAATTGTATGTTTCCCTGTGATTTGTACCATAAACACAATTCTACATTCATGATAAGAGTCTAAAAATATAGTCAGCAGGTAAAATGGAGAGATCCTGACTTTCATTTTTAGACCCCAGTTCTTACCTTAACAACCCTGTTTTTACCCAGAGTTATCCTGTAGTCATAAACATCAACATCCACATATTGGACGTAGGACACGCGAGTGTTGCCTCCTCTGTGTTCGTTTGCTGCTTCCACATTGAAATAGGGCAGCGTGCTGTTCCCATCACACAGCTTGGACAGGGTGTAGGTGCAATTTCCCATGAACGTGTGAGACTGCTTGTCAAAAGTGTAATAGTGGGGGTCACTATGCACACTGCAGGTTGCCTCTGCAGATGAAGAATGGAATATAGCTGCATTAATACACAGGCGTGTTCAGCTGACACATCTGAACACCTTTGACTCTGGAGTGCTCCTGATCCATGCAAGGACCATGCTCTGCACTTCTACAGCACCCTTAACTTAAAGGTCTCAAAGTGCGCAACCACATTAACAAAGTAAGCCCTAAAACACCCCTGTGTGGTAGGGAAATATTTTTCTCCCCACTTTACAGATGGGGATGCTGAAGCAAGGAGAGATTAAGTAAATCAAATCAGTTGCAGAGCTAGGAATAAAACCAGAATTCCTCTTGCTGTTTATTGGCTAGTATGTGTATATGAATAACAATTACCTGTTATCACTGGCAAAGCAGATTCCGTTGTTGCAGTTGATGATGCTGGGGGAGTGGTAGATGGCACCATCACTAAAAAAGATCGCCCAAGACAATGAATTATAACTACAGAATCATCACTGTACCCGTTCACCAAAAAACACCAGGCTTCATTCTCCTCTCCCTAACACCACTGTAAATCAGGAATATTTCTGCTGGAGCCAGTGGAACTGTCCCAGTGCAAAACTGGTGTAAGTAAAAGAGTTTTTAGAGAAGCGTGTCTGATTGTTGGCTGGGTAATAGCCACTGAGCCTGTCACAGCCTGTACCTCCTTTGCTGGAAATGTATTTGCAATTGGCTGTGTGGCTTCTTCTGGTTTATCTGTTAGAGCAGTGAAGGTCATATCATCTGTAGGTGTTGGCAGTGTTGGGCATCACAGGCCTGGCAGCAGATGCAGCACAGTAGTAGCAATATTGACACAGTTACAATTTTCTAGTCAGTGGGTTTCTTTATTTCCCCAAAATGATATTTACTTTGTGTGAAAACGAGAGCTGAAAGAGCTGCCTAGTGACAGACAGAACAAGTGAAGGCACCAAGCAAGGTGTCTTAACAAGCTCTGCTGATGCTTACATCTTCCTGCCTGCTACACATTCTAGCTTCTAGCAGCTGGACTTCTCCTAAAATGGATGTTATAGCGTGTTGTCCTTGTGTGATAGGAGCCACTAGGGTCAATGTGACCAGGTGGCCAACATTAAACTCATTCCATTGGTGACCTAGTAACATTTGTATTTAAACCTCTGGAATTGCAAAGGTAATGCAGCAACACAGAGAAACACCTAAATCCTTCTTAGCACACAAGCACTTTCGCTTTTTGCTTGCTGAATGAAAGTCAGCGAGCATCATTTGTTGCAGTCCCCTTAAATCATTCCATGGTGAATTGAGTATGCAATAACACATGATGCAACCAGGAGACCTACCTTGAGTGAGTTACAGCTGACTGATTAACTAATTTACTGAATATACTCTTTCCCAATTATTTATGGATGCACTATAGGTCATTTAGATGCATAAATACCTGAATGAGTCCACAAATCAGTGAGTTAGACATCTATCTGACTTAATCTACAAACAGCATTATTTGTGGTACAAAAATAGAAGCCGCATATGGCCAGGATGGAAATCTTTGAAAACTGATGGAATAATTGTATACAATAATGATAATTAATGCCTATAAACTAGTTGTGCATGCAGCTGGAAACCCATCAAACTCAATTGAATTTGTTCTTTTTTATGCAGTATAGTTTATAAAAGAAAATAATTTATTGGGAGGACAAAATGACCAGTTTGAGGTCTAAAAAATACTATGAAATTAATAGTATGTGTTGACTGAAATTATTCCAGATATGTAAAGAGCTTAAACCTTAAAAGCAAATACACATTTTAAAGAGTTGACTCCAAAATGGTCTCAGCATATCTTTGTGTCCTGGCTTTTTGCACTTTCTGCTCTTCACATCCAACATGCTGCTCCTATGAAATCTCTGATTTTGCACATCAAGTGTGAATTTGCACATGCAAATATAGTTTGCACATGTAAATAGCTGATTAATTTCTGTGTACAAACTCTGAGTCAGGAAAAATTGTATGAGCAATTTTATAGGTCATGTGGAGGCTTCTTTGAAAAAGTATGCTTTATTTCCAAGCATGAGCTCAAATTCAGCATACACACTTTTTGTATTTGCTTGTACACAAACTATGTAAACAGGTAGGCATGCAAAAATTGTGTGAACAAAACTAGAGGCAAGTTTGAGTCTAGGACCAAGTCCCTTGCTGGTGGCTGAGGAACACATAATGCAGCCCTGCAATGCAGGAGGGAATGTGCAAAGGTGTCTTTAACTCTCCTTTATACTTCCTTAGTGCACCAGTATGATCACGCAGAATAGATCAGCTTTAGGCTGCTCCAATTTGTGCCTGCTGCCAACAAACCCACAGGGCAGCCAGAAAGGGCAGATGAGCCTGGCCACACCTTCTTCCTCTAACAATGCTTACTACACCAGCCACAGAGCGGGAAGGGCCAGTTAGGAACTGTTACACTGACTTTGCACCACCACCAGATCCCTCTATTCGAGCTTTAAGGTTATTTTGTTCTGCTGGTGCAGAAAGAAGAGGAGACTCTGGGCTTAAAAATGTTGTCCCTAAAGATGTAAAGTGGGGGAAAAAATCAATAAATAAAAAAATGAAAATCAAGACTAAAACTCCCTGGCTAGTTAGTACAAGGGGGTGGAAAATTAAATTTTTTGCATGAAAAAAATTCAATGAAAATGATATTTTCCCACAAAAATTTCCATTTAGTCAAATAGGTGTTTTCTATCAAAAATGTTTGGAGAATTTTTTTTTCACCAGTGTTACTGATTAGCATGACCTTTATCTTCATTAGTAGCCATAAAATCGAACACTGTGAGAGCAGCGCTTTTGTTCTAACACTTGAGATTACATTTGTGCTCCATCCAGTGGCTGAATAGTGTGCTGCACAGCCTGGGGAAACCAGAAAGTGACTCTTTCTGTCCAAGAACAATAAGCCTGAAGAGTATTAAAACACTACTCATTGGATCTTAAAGAAAACTATTCATTCTGAGGATTTCTGTGCCCAGAATTTAGTCCTTCAACTGCCCTGAAGTTTTATGCTACTGTAAATCTGAGTCATTTTATTGTCATTATAGAAAAAGTATCTTACAGACAGGAGAGAAGCAGGCCCTGTTAAGACCTGGAAATATCTTCTTGCACATATTTTCTATAGTAATAATAATGTTCATTAGTGAGATATACAGTGTTATATATTTTCAGAGTGCTCCATACATACATAAAATTTTAGATGAGATTACAATAAGATGGGTGCACAACTGGTTGAAAGTCTGTACCCAAAGAGTAATGATCAATGGTTCACTGTCATACTGGGAGGGTGTATCTAGAGAGCCCTGCAGCCCCAGTACTAGTCAATATTTTCATTAGTGACTTGGATAATGGAGTGGAGAGTATGCTTATAAAATTTGCAGATGACTCCACGCTGGGAGGGGTTACAAGCACCTTGGAGAACAGGACTATTCCATAGTTTAGGTGTGTTCAGATCAGAGATTTTGTTTTGGTAGATTATAAAGATATGGACCAGCCTCAAATTCCAGTTCGGAATCAAATTTCCCCAAAGCCCATAATATTATGATCTGAGGGTTTGGGCTGTACTTTTCTACTGATTCGTTGTTATTTCTCTGTGTCATGTGACAGTGCAGTGTGTCCTATGGGAAGAGTTCTGGCTCTTTCTTGGTTTACTATTACATGTTGAGTAGAGAGCTCAATGAAACCCCAAGACAGGTGACATTCATCTGCTTTGGAGTTTTACTACAAACCTACATTTGCTGAATTTCATGAAAATGGACTGATTTTCAGACAACCTTGCAGCTCGTTTGGAACAAAATTGAGATGCCGAGGAGGGATTTGGGTGAAAACTAGGGAAAAACCCAGTAAATTTAGATGAGCATCACTGTGAATTTTTTGGCTTCCTTTTTATGAGGTTTGGATCTTTGGGAGTCCTTATTCTCTACTGGACAGTGGTATAGTAAACAAGTGGAAAAAGGGGATGGGAATCACTGAGACATAGGGATAGACTTACCACAGGGCCCATTCCTGACACCCACATTGTCCACAGCTGTGTCCCCATATTCTGTTAATCCTCGAACAGCCTCAAAAATGACCTAGGCAGGATGCAAAGTGAATCATAGAATCAGACATATTTGGGAGATGAAAAGGGACAGCCTCACAGCCAATGCAGGATCATTCCCCTCGCTGTATTTTCTAAGTGCTTTTTCTACTCTATTTTATATGGCTCATGTGAGAGTTGGGGCTTCCCTGTCTGTCCTTGGGAAAACATTGTGTATTAAAGCAGGGACTGGAAGAGACACTACAATTCCATTTTTCCTGGTGATAGGTGATACTGATTATTGATTATTAATCTTTTCTAAGATTCTACTTAAGTCTAAGGGCCAGACTTAGCTAGCATCCAGCATTTGAAACTTGACTCACAACAAAACAAGCCACATTTAGGGAAGGACTCTGTGGCCTTAAATGCATGGCAACATGAGGGAGAGAAATATATATTTACATATCATCTTACTAAAAGCAACAGTGAAACTTAATGGGACTGATTGTTGTCTTAGTTGCACCGGTGTAAAGTAGTAGCTTTATTTGAGGGAATGGTAAATTTACTGTAACTGAGTGGGGAATTAAGCACAATTAAGAAATATTTCTAACTGTCTGGGAACAACTAGTATGGGGGACAAATTGTTAAGAGACGCTGAGTATCAGCATGAAAAATAGGGGCAGGCCCAAGCTGCAATGTTAAGATCTGAATGTTGATCCAAATGTTCGCAAAGCATTGTTTAGATCCCGCATTGTGCAGGGAACCCATGAAGAAGGGTTCACCAATATAAAGAATGAGAAACTGAAATAAATGCTTGCCCAAATGGCAGCAAGATCTGGACCTCTGTAACATGGGCCAGAAAGAGCAATGATCATTATATGTATTAGTTATTTGCAGTAGAGCCTACAGGCTCCAGTTATAGACCAA